TTGCCTAAAGGTACTACATATCTTAGGGAACAAGTAATTCAAGTTCAAGTAGGTTTTCTAATTGTTTCAAGGGAGTTATCTATATAAAGAGCTCCAAAAACGAATTTGATAGGATATACATTGATTACTGAAGAGTCTATTATTTTGTTTATTGTCTTTCAATTCAGTTTTACTTCAAGTTCTTAAATTTCTGCAATTTTCTTTCAAGTTATTTAAATTTCAGTATTTATTTCTTGCATTTGCTTTCCGTTATTTCAATTCCATGCAATTTAAATTCTTAGATTAAGTTTATTTTAACTTCCGTTGCATCAAAAAGCCTCTACTATCAAACTTTTTAGGTTTATGTTTCTTTGATTGAGTTTTCTTGTAACGCAGATAAGGGCAAACAAATAGGTGGAAAATTAGAAAATAAGGCAGTGGCTCAAAATGCTAAACAGATTCAGCAAAACCCGGCAACGACTTCGGAAGAGTGCAAAATAGCATATAAGGGCAAACAAATAGGTGGAAAATCAGAAAATAAGGCAGTGGCTCAGAATGTTAAACAGATTCAGCAAAACCCGACAACAACTTCGGAAGAGTGCAGAATGGCTCTTGTGTGGATTGACTTGGAAATGACCGGTACCAACCTGATGCTCTGACCTCTGTAATATTTTTTATGATAAAATCACACTCAACGTACTAAATTGTCTCCACTAGACCACTACTTTTGAGTCCTTGTTTAGTTCATGTCAGAGAATATTCTTCAAGTTTTTGTGAATGCACCAAGCCCTCGACACCTATTTTTCATCTTTTGTTCCTAAATGTTTCGACTAAATTCAACAAGATGACAGCTTTCCTGTAGAACTTCGATCGAACAACCTCAAAATATGATATAGTGGCTTTTTGTATAAAATAATAAGAAGAATAATAATTATTGGTGAAGATTGATGAAACTGAACCTTCTTGAAGGTTGCCTACGTGAATTTGTTATCAAGTTTCTATTTCGTAGTTCTTGATGTGTATAGATTTTTCTTTATATAGGGGTGTTAAAACCCTAATTGTAGACAAAATGGTGGAACGGGCCTTAAATGGGCCTTATATTACATATTTGGGGCATTGGGCTCAAATATATATGATTTAAATAATAAGCCCAAATATATGGGAATTTGGTATTGGGCACAAATACGGGTCCATACACTAAACATGCAGTTATTGGTCATCATTCTCTGGATAATATGTGTAATATGATGTTATTAATGCATCCAAATATTTCTTTACCATCATTTTTTGTCACCCAAGTCAAAAAGCGGGTGTTTGCTTATTTTTAATGACTTGTCCCAATGGTTGTCCAATAGTCTTCTTAAGCCCAGTTCTACTTCTAGAGTTTCTCTAGGACCACTACCGTTGTATCCTTCTTATTCTAGAGTGTAATTAAAATGTTTTGCCTGGTATCCTCTCTCTCCTCCTTTTTGACAACCTTAGGAACCACTTCTAATTTTACTAAACTATGTTAATCCTTACCATCAGCTCCTTCTTCAACGTAGTAATCTTCGTAGCTCATTATCAGGTCTGTGATCAGTTGAGTCCTATTGTGTTCCATCACTGTATCCTAGGATTATTTTCTTGGTGGTTATTGGTGGAGAGTTGAGATCATTAATAGTGTTCTTTTCTATAGTAATTTTTGTATTTGTGATTTTCTTATGTAGGCCTGGATATCCAAGTGGATCGAATATTGGAAATTGCTTGTATAATTACGGATGGAAATTTGTCCAAATCAGTGGAGGTCTTGTTGTCTCATTCTTCACAGAATTTTTAAATTTTTTTTGTCTTGCTCTCTCTTGCTTTTAATTTTAGTTTATCTTATCTGCTATTTTTGGCAGAATCTCTGTTACCCTTTGATTGTTGTTGATGTTCGATTTTGGTAATGCTACCCACCATTGGAAATGTTCAAGTTTTCGCAAGGGCACTGACATGAAGTCAGTTGTCATAATCAGGTGCTTTGGACAAAAAGATAAAAAGACCATCATTCTCTTCTTTATCAAAAAATCAAAAGAAAAAAAAATTCATAATGATTCAATCTGACTGCCACCTAAAGATTTTGATTGGATTGTTAATGGAAATGAAGTGACATTTAATGGAACTATATAAACTTCTTATCAATCTTAAGGACACATAGAACAAAACTAATGGAACAAGTATATAAAAATCGGCAATGTATACTTAAAAAGACTAAATATTCTGTGATGAGAAAGCTGTATTAAGTGAGATCATTGCATTTGTTATGATATCACATTGATTGTCTACTGCTCAAAATGAAAA